CCCTAAACCCTAAACCCTACACCCTAAACCCTAAACCCTAAACCCTAAACCCTACTACCAGGCGTCTCCTCCTTCTGTCCGACAGGCTGTCAGACAATCCTGCACTGTGGAAGTGGTGCTTCCACTCGAGCTGGCCTTCATTGAGCTTCATAACCTTACGTCTCCCAGTAACCAAGGGGAAAGAAGGTTAAAGTTTAGGGTTTAGGGTTTAGGGTTTAGGCCTTAGGGCTTTAGGGTTTAGGGTTTAGGGTTTAGGGTTTATCAGGAAACCCAAAAAGCTTAAAGTTCAGCTGCAGGAGAAGTAAGTAACGAAGCCATCTTGATTTTCGCCCGACTGGTAGTCCCTCGTCCAAGTTCTATCGGGGTCTGCGAGCTTGACAACGCCACCGCCCACAACGAAGATCTGATCCGTGGAGTCCACCTGTGCGTTTCAACAGGGCTCCTGTCTTACGCAAGACTCAACCGCAACCACAAACACCACCACCACCACGACAAACAAACGAACAAACAAGCAAACAAACAAACAACCAGACAGACAGACAGACAAACAGACAGCCAACCGACCAACCAACCAACCAACTAGACCGACAGACAAACAAACAACCAACTAGACAAACAAACAGACAACAAACCAACCAGACAGACAAGGCGTTTAGACAAACACTTCTTTCGACAAGCTCCCACCTGACAATCGCGCAGCCGCGGATAGATGAGGGCATCTTGACCTTGGCCGATGCTGCTCGAGCGGCGGCGATGGCCGAAGAAGCCGCCCGTGGCGCTGACCTCCGCAACCTGCACCAGTGCTCACTGCACCCTATACTCCCCCTACATATATGTATATATATATATATATATATACCTGTCAGAAGGGATTATATAGGTACCCATAGTAATTCCTTGAAGGTTATATTCTAGGGGGATATAGGGCACCTCATTCCCTACTAACCAACCTGCACAGTGTGGACGTAGTGCTCGGCCAAGAAGGAGACCCAGGACAGGGTACCTTAAATCATCTTAGGGTTCAGGGTTCAGGGTTCAGGGTTTAGGGTTTAGGGTTTCGGGTTTAGGGTTTAGGGTTTAGGGTTTAGGGTTTAGGGTTTAGGGTTCTAGGCATCATTTAAGGGACATTCCTTAACTCATGTAGGGGATTTGGGGAGTCTCTCTTAGCCCACGACAAGGTGCCATTCGGGGTGGCCTTCAAGATCATGGCCTTCAAGGTTTAGGGTTTAGGGTTTAGGGTTTAGGGTTTAGGGTTTAGGGTTTAGGGTTTCGGGATCAGGGCCTCGGCTCCCAGCTCCTTTCTGAACTGCCCCGCCAGGATCGGGGCATCCGTGGAGTCCAGCTGCAAGCCTCTACCCAGAGACTCCAAAACCCCTTAATTAAGGAATGTACCTTAAATCATATTAGGGTTCCTATTCTAATTTAGGGTATATTCCTTAATTAAGGGGTTTTGGGAGTCTCTGGGTACTCCCCCTTGGGAACCCTTCATAAAAAATGATACTATTCATCTCCTCTCGGGTTCGTTTATCTGAACAAAATTTAAAAATCAATGTTACTAATAATCTCTTGGGCTAAAATTATAAACAAAATTGTTTAAAAAGAATGATATTACTAATATCCTCTTGGGTTTTATATAAACAAAAATATAAGAAAAGCAATACTTCCCGAAAGGGGGGATAGAGAAGCTGACGATGTCGATCTCCCCCATGGGGTCGGGCACGGGATGCTCCAAGGTCCAGAGCACCTCTCCCGAGCTGCTGATCTTCGTGATTCCTCTACTGAACTTGGGGGGAACCCTGGGAAAAAAATCGCACTTTTCGCTGTTTCTTAGGAGCTCTACTGAACTTGGGGGCAACCCTAGGAAAAACTATAACTTTTGGCTGTTTCTTGGGAGTTAAAGTACCGAAAAAATGAAAAAGTATTTCCAAGTCTCCCTAAGATTCGGACCTCGTCCCAGGCCTTCGCATCTGCCACCAGCAGGTCCTCGTGGGAGTCCAGCTTCATGTAGACCTCGTTGTTTGAGACCTTGACGTAGCGCCTCCAGACCAGAGTTCCTTGCTTGTTGAACTTCATGATGAAAGCAGTGTGCTGCCTTGGTTGCTCATTAACCCCCCCCCCCCCCCGAAAAAAAAAAAAAACTTAACTGTTGGCTCCCATAATGATGAACACGAGGAACCCCAAAAAGACTAAGAGAAAAATAGTGATACAGTTGTAGTAAAGTCCCACCTAGCTGCCGAGAGAATGACGCATTGCACAACTCCGAAGATGAAGCGCCCAGGACGTAGACGTCATCGTTGGAGGTCACCTGGGTTTAGGGTTAGGGGTTTGGGGTTTAAGGTTTGGTTGGGGATGTTTGGGGGACTTGGATGTCATCGTCGGAGCCCACCTGAAAGCTCGAGATGGTTTCGGTCTTGTGGACGCTGAGCTCATCCGTCCAAGTCCAGAGCCACTGCCCGGAGCTGGTGAGCTTCATGAGGAAGGGGTGCGTCCTTAGTTGGTCCAGCATCCTGGGGGAAGTAAAGGTTCGCCTCTGGGATTATGAGAGGATTTTATACTACCCCGAAAAAGGTTAAAGGTTGCCTACTCTACTACCAGGCGTCTCGGGGCAGCTGCCCCAGCCATGATCCCGTTGGCCGACGACGACGACACCTCCTGCGTCCTCGCGGAGTCCGACGAGCAGATCACCGCTCCACGCACAGAGCACACATGTGGAGAGGACCAATGCCACAGCAGACTTCATTGCCAGGGGGCTTGATAATCCTTTGGCCCTGCCAGCAGCCAAAATGGCAACTGGAAAGTTTGGACATGTGTAGCAAGGCACCAGGTATCCATTCGAAGCATGGGACTGAACACATCACAGTTCACAGCATGGCCTGGAGACAGGCCTTGGGAACGCTCACAGTAACAAGCTGGCAAAAACCTGAACCCTAAACCCTAAACCCTAAACCCTAAACCCCAAACCCCAAACCCCAAACCCCAAACCCCAAACCCTAACCCTGAAGCCCCCAGCCATCCCCAAGTGGTCTCATCGCCTCGTCCCGGAAGGCGCGACGGGCGCTCGGGAATCTGACAGAAGGCTTTTTAGGGAGCCTTGGGGGGAGTTTAAAAAGGGCAGTTTAAGGTTTTTTAGGGAGCTTTGGGGGGAGTTTAAAAAGGGGCAGTTTCAGAGTTGGAGGGTATATAGGGTTCGGTCTAGGGGTTCGTTTTTTAGGGGTTTAGCGTAAGGATTTGGCTTCAGGGCTTGCAAAGGTGCAGTGTGTGGTTTTGGGTTTGCCTGTCCCTACTCACGAATAATCTTGCAGAAACCGGGACTTCCTCAAATCCTAAAGCCAGAGAAGAACCAAATGTCTGGAGAAGCCGCCAGAGGAAAATTCTGGGTCGACAGCAGGCCGACCCCTTCCTAGCTCAGAGCTTCGTTGACGTAAAATAGTTGTTGACGGCATACGCCCGTGGGATGGGTCCAAGCGGGCGTTCACATGCACTTTGGGGTCTGAAGCCTTTTAGCATCTCTGAAGGCTTTCAGCATCTCTGAAGCCTGAAAGCTGGACTCCGCACAAGCCACTCGAAGCGACTGAATCCCCAAACCTTGGAGCGCGGACTCTAAGAACCTAAATTCAAAAATATCAAGAGCCCCAAGAACCCCGAAGAAAACGTAAAAGCTAAACTAATCAAGGGCCTTCCTGCCCCAACCCAAACATCCTGAACGCCTTTCTCCATCTTCCTCCCTCTGCTCTCAGGCAGAAGGCCACGGGCGCAGCGGCATTGGTAAAGAAAAGGAGTGTAAAGGGGGTTTCGATGTTTCTTCGGTTTTCGGGTTTCGGGCTTCGTGTGCATTGGGCAATCAAGACAAAGCGGCGCCATCTTCCACTGACGTGGTCTTTACTACGGGCACTCAGGCATACAAAGCCAATCATGGGGCTCAAGGGTTCAGGTCTCAGGGCTTAGGGCGTAGATTGAGCCGGTAGAGTTCAGTGACAGCAGTTCGCCCATCAAGGTGAGAGATGATCCACCTAGCTACATGACTGACTTATTAACTACGCGCGCAGTTGAAGAAGCCGATGCTGTTGCAATGTGGCATGTCGTTACGTAGAGACTTGCACTGCGCTCACGACACCATAGGCTGTCGAAGAACTGTGAACGGTTGGGCTTCGATGGCTTCGCAAGCTCCGTGACACACACATGCATGACGACGCCGATGGGCTCGCACACAGCTTTCCTGGAGCACACATGGGCTGGCGGCTGGAAGTCATGCGACATCATGCACAGACGTACAAAGCAAGATCATAAACTTCGCATAGTGGCCGATGAAACACCCGTCTTTTCGAAACTCACGCCTGCAACGCCCCAAATCGTGAGGAGCAGGCAAGCTGCAACACAACATTAATTACGGCAGTCGCGCGTGCGCTTTTGCTGGAAACAGCGGACGCTGACGTTCGGCAGCTTCCACAACTGTTATGGCCTGGGTGCAAGGCCAAGTACCTTCCTCCCGACTGCACCACTGGGCGAAAATGGCGCAGTTCAATAATTTGGAACCCGCAAGATTAGCCCAGCGCCCGAAAATCAACGCCTTTGTTAGGGTGAAACTTGACGCGCGTCAAGCTCTCGGCACAGACAGTATCAACAGTTCAATCACCCGGCGAGGGCCCAAAACGGCAGGCGGAAAGGTGGGGGCCCAAAACGACGGGCGGAAAGGTGGGGGGTTCAAAACGGCGGGCGGAGAGATTGTGGCAGGAGGCAGTGGCAGTGGGCCTGAAAAGCCCAAAACGGCGGGCGGAAAGAATCTGGCAGGAAGCGGGCAAACCCGGCGGGGGCCCAAAACGGCGGGCGGAAAGGTGGGGGCCCAAAACGGTGAGCGGAAAGGTGGGGGCTCAAAACGGCGGGCGGAGAGAGTGTGGTAGGAGGCAGTGGGGGCCTGAAAGGCCCAAAACGGCGGCGGAAAGAATCTGGCAGGAGGCGGGCAAACCAGGCGGGGGCCCAAAACGGCGGGCGGAGAGGATATGGCGGGAGGCAATTGAAAACGGCGGGCGGAAAGAATCTGGCAGGAGGCGGGCAAACCAGGCCCCAAAACGGCGGGCGGAGAGGATATGGCGGGAGGCAGTTGAAAACGGCGGGCGGAAAGAATCTGGCAGGAGGCGGGCAAACCAGGCGGGGGCCCAAAACGGCGGGCGGAGAGGATATGGCGGGAGGCGTGTGGAAGCGTGACGGGGCAAGAATGGCGGGCAGGTCGGCCCCAAAATGGCAGGTACCGTTTTGGGCAATTGCTAGTGAGAAACGGCGTGTGACCCCTTCAAAAGGACTCAAAAAGGGCCCTTACTGCAGGGCGGCGCGCCCCGCCCTGCATTAAGAGCCTTCTTTTGAGTCCTTCGAAAACAACTGCCCCAACCAAGTCCACCCCACGAGACGGGAGGGTAGAATTACCCAGCCCTTGGTGCGTAGGGACGCGCGCCTCACCGCAGCAAGGCTGGGTATCCCTAGCCCGTGCCCTGGCCGAGAAAGGTTGGTAATTACCCACCCCTCTCGGCCAGGGCACGGGCTAGGGATACCCAGCCTTGCTGCGGTGAGGCGCGCGTCCCTACGCACCAAGGGGTGGGTAATTCTACCCTCCCGTTGGTGCGTAGGGAGGTGGCTGGCAGCTTCCCGTTTCTGTGTTTTTCGTTTCGTTTTGTGCTTTGGATGTGCCGCTTGAACGGAGTTTAAGGCAGAACTAACACTGCAGGTGCAATCACTTTTGACGGCTTGAGCCAATGTCGCATGTGTATGCTCACTCATTGTGAAACATGTTGTGTGACACCTACAAATCTAAACACCCCTCCTAAGCCAGGTGGTCATTTGACCCATTGGCTTCACACGAGCCGTTTGGCTGCTCCGGCTCGTCCAACATGAAAACGCAATCCCATGTTCTTGAGGTGTTTGAGCATTGCCACTTCGGGCATTGGTTTGGTGCAGATGTCGGAGTAGTTCTTCGCCGTGCCTACACGCTCTAGCTCCAGAGCTCGCGCGGCGACTTTCTCTTGCACCCACAAGTATCTTGTTTGCACGTGGCGTGCTTGACCCAGGCCCTGGCGCTGGGTAGTGCCTCGGGCCGCCGAGGAATCAGATCGAATCCGCAGACCGACCTTTAATCCCCAGTCTTCTAGCATCGCCTGTAGCGACAGACCTATTGACCCTGCTCGAACTATAGCGTAAAACTCACTCTCTCCACTCGAAAGGGAGATCGTGCTTTGCACGTTGCTTGAGTGTTTCACGCAGTGCGATCCAAGCATTGTCACTAGTCCCGTGGTTGACCTCCGCGTGATGAGGCAACCAGCGTGGTCTGAGTCGCAGTACATCACAATCTCTTTGCTGAACCGTTGCGGGCGGTACTCGTAGATCAGCCGTGGATTTCCGCGTAAGTAGCGGACAAGCCTCTTCAGATCGGCCCATGCCCACTCTGTGGGTTCTTTCATGTGCCGTGCTAAGCTCTTCGTAGCCTCGGCAATGTCTGGACGGTCCTGTGCAAGGAACGCTGCCCTCATCGTATGAGACCGATATGCTTTCTGAAGTTCGGCATTCAACGGCTGCGCTTCAAGCATCGCTTTCAGGTCACTTCCCTTTTTCTTCTCTGCTGGCGTTTTGGCCGCCTTCGCAGACTCCAGGCCAAGGTCGCGTACTAGGGCTTCCGCGTGCCTTGGATCCGCTTCGTACGTAACAGTTCCTGTCTGGCTGTCATTGCTCACGACCCGGTTCAGGACAGTCATGCTATCCTTTTCACACTCAGGTCCTATGTGGCCATCACACTTGAACTCGTACTCTTCAGACAGTACTTTGTCTACAAAGCGATGTCCATCTTCGTCTGCCAAGACTAGGAAATCATCCCCATGCACCAATAATCTCACGTCGGCTTCGGCGTGATAAAAGGTACACGGATATGCTTTTCCCACGACAAACCCGTGCTTGCGTAACAGGCTTGTGTACGATCTCTGCCATACAGCTGAGGCATCACGGGCGCCATACATGGTCCGTTTCAACAGACCACAAAAGCCGGGAGCTTCATCTCCCTCGGGAAGTGTGACAAACACACGTCGTTCTGCTTTTCCATAGAAGTGTGCACGTGATATGTCTGTCAGCTTCAGCGTGAGAGAAAATCGAAGAGCGCGTGTGTTGGGACGAAACAGGTCGTCCGCCCATAACCTTGAAGTGGGTAGACCGCAACAAAGGGGATGATGTTCGGGAAAACTACCGCAGTCGTTTGGTAGTCCGCGAGGTCAAGTCACAGGGACAAGCGGCGTTGATACCAGACTACGCACTGTTTTCCTCAATGCCACCTCTGGAAGGATTGAAGATCCTATGCAGTCTGCTGACGACACTCAAGAGGTCAAAGAGCGGAAAGGTCGTACACACCTTGCTTTTTCACCCAGGCAAGTTCTGACGCTCTTGCTTCCGCAACCTTTCTGGCATCAAGTTGTGCCCCTGTGTTTGCGTCTATGACGGGCTCGCTTACGTGAAGCTGCCCTGCCTTGGGTAAGGTGTCATGGAGATACTCTTCGAGCGGTGGCTCCTCGTGTGGGTCAGGTCCACCCACATGGCCCACCTCCTTCATTTCTCCATCCAGAACCAGTTGTGCTCGCACTCCTGCCAGTAGTGCTCTTTCAAGCTTCGGAGGATACTCGGCCTTGGCCGTCACGATCCCCTCCTTGAAGCTTAGCGTTCGGTTCCACACCTTCGCATTGCCCTTGCATAGCTTTTCCAGCGCTGTTGCAACCGTCGCCGAATTAGTAATCCAGCGGGTTCGCTTCTTGCCGGATTGGCCTGCAATCATTTTTCCACTTTCGTCAACTTTCCACTTGCACATTGGGCCTTCAACCAAGTACGAACCCATCCTTTGAGCAAGTTCATGCTCCCAGGACTTAGTTCCCCTTGGGCACTCATAGAGGAAGTAGTTTCCGGCTTCCTTCTGTGCCTCGAAGGCCTCAAAGCAAAGCCCCAGTTGAGATCGGGCCTTCCTCAAATTTCCGCGTCTTGTCTCGACTCCAATCTTGTTGGTCATGTCGAAAGCACGTTGTACTGACTGGAAGGGTCCAGTGGGCAGCTTGCCCACCAGAAGCTTTGGCTTCACTTGTTCCAGCTTTTCGAAGAAACGCAAATGCTCGGCCTGAGCGAACATCGGCGGCTCTTGGTCCATTGGCAAGATAATGCCTTCATTCACCATGCTCTAGGGCACAGCTGAATTGCCATTACCTCCCAACTGTAGAACCATAGAGTTTATGGCCTTCGCTTCGGTCGGGCTGCACTTGAGCCCCTTTTGTTCGAACATCCGCGTAATCAGGTTTATTCGCACTTCCTCGTTGGCTGGCGGCGGATTCGCCGTTGCTGTGTCGTACATTTCTGCATCTGCTCGTGCTTGTTGGTGTGAGTGGTCCAGGCCGGGTCCTGCAGAGCCACTTGCTCCTCCTTGCACGTGTACTCCAATGACCTCGACATCTGGACCATCGGTAGCCCTCGTGCTGGGCTCTTCCCGGTAAAGGTCCTCGACGTCCTTGGACGCTGCGCGCTTCCGCTGTTTCGGCTCGGCGCGGTCCTCGACCTCCATTGGTCTGGACAAAGGTGCGCCTGCCGCTTCCTCTGCTGCGACATCCATTGCGTCGGGGGCAGGTCTTCCTTCCAGCGCGGGTTGGTCTCTTTTGACCCGCTTTCCGTAGTCTTTTTCAACTCGCTCTTGGGCCCTTTGCACTCTTTCTTTTCCCTCTTCGGTTTCTTGCAGTCTTCTCTGCACTCTCATCCTGCACTCGTCATTGTGCGCTCGCTGCGGGAGACCCATCAGCTGCGCATCGCATCCCGGACACTGAGGCGTGTAGCCGTGCAGCTCAATGTCGGACTTCATGACGTACAGGTTGCGTGCCTTGAAGTCTCGGTGTTGTGGCGCAGGTTGTTCGCCTTCGAGAGCGGGCATACCAACTCGGTTGGGCGACGCTCGCTCTTGTGGACCGGACATCCTCCAAGGCAATCCGCGTAGCACGTCGAAACCTTCAACAGGCCATTTCTCATCCTCGGGCCTCCTGTGTAAGGAGTGGCCCCGGGATATACCCTCGGACGTCATGATCAGCAAGTCTGCGTTCCTCGACGCAGTTCCGACGTAACGTCCCATGCAAACTCTTGCGTCTAGGCTTCCTCGCTTGTGTCTCGAACCAACTGGCTTGAACATCACCTGTTCGCCAAAGACAATGGTAGGTCGCCTCCATGGTCGGCCCAGCGTCCTTTCGTAAGCTGACTTCCCGTCTTCGCCAATGCGAAAACGTGTCATCAAGAACGCTGCATGCCTCGCGATCCAGGCGAGAATCGGGTGGTCCACGCCCACCTCGATCTTAAGCTTTGTCTCCAGCTCCGACAGGATAGCTCGGACCATTCGCTTCACCTCTCTCACTGCGGCCTCGGCTATGCCGTTCGATGGCGCATTCTCGTGTTCCGTACTTGTAGGACTCTCTCTCGAGTCGAACACTACATTTTGGACTTCTTCCGAGGGATTGAGTTTGAGCGCACGGAGGGCGTGTTCATTATCTGAGAATAAACACATCCTCTTCCATCCGGCCTCGCGTATCACGCTGGCCAACCACGTGACGTTGTACGCATGCGTGCCTTTCTCGGGCAACGAAGTTGCCCAAGTGCGCTGCGTTTTGTCGCACCGAACCACCAGGTGCGGCATCACGTCGTCTTCCTGCTTTTCTTTGCCCAGGAAGAAGTAGTCCATGTGTAGCGTCGGCAAAGATGTCTCAAGTTCGGCTCTCCGAATCCGGTAATGTGGATTCACCATCTTTCGTGCTCTCTGGCAGTGGACGCACCAGGAACGGTGCACCGCGTCTTCGCCTGGAGCCTCCGGCTCCTCGGCAAAGCGGTCGTCTTCAGTGCCTCCTTTTTCCTTGCTTGGCTGCTGCTGCTGTTGTTGCTGTTGTGCTGCTGGTGCTGCTGCTGGCACTTGTATGCTTGCGCTTGCTCCTTGTTGTGCCGTTTTCGTTTTCCTCTCTTTCTCTCTCTCGCTCTCTCGCTCTCTCTCGCTCTCTCTCTCTCTCTCTCTCTCTCTCTCTCTCTCTCTCTCTCTCTCTCTCTCTCTCTCTCTCTCTCTCTCTCTCTCTCTCTCTCTCTTCTTGTCTTCCTTGGCTAACACCTTGAGCGTTGCCTTTCCGGCGGCTCTCCTTTTGGCCGCTTCCTCAACCATCTCAGCCTCTTCGTCTAGGGGTGAAACGCTTAGCCCGTTGGGCCTTACACCGTCTACGGACGCCCCGTGAAACCCAGGCCGTCTTGGCCCTTGCTTCCGCCCTTCACTCCTTTCTTCTCGTCTTGCAGAGGAAACACGTAGACGCCGTTCTTCACTTGCATCTTGGTTCCGACACCCTTGTGCTTCCAGGCCAACTGGCGCAACGCCTCGTCGGCCTCCTTAGCGAAAGCGGTTCCTTTTGGGACCAGCAAGCCTCCTGTTCCATGCAGAAACGCAAAATGCGTCTTGCACGCCTGTGCTCCTGACAGGAGTATGCGGTGGACCCCGGCGCCTCGGCCGGTGATCGTGGCCCCACGGCCTCCCGACAAAGTGCCGGTGACCTCAGCTTTTCCTTGGTCCTTCAGCGCCTCACCTGACGCCGTCTTGTAGCGGACGCCGTTGTCCTTTGGCTGCGTCACGTACTTCTCAGGCAGAACGGTCACGGCCGCTCCCGTGTCAAAGTTGACCTCGACGCTAGCCACGCCTGGCGAAGCGCCCAGGCTGGCAGCATCCACGGTCTCGAAGCTGTGCACCGATTGGCGCACGCCTCCTTCGCCCGGGTCCTCCGGGTCTTCTCCTCTTGGGTCGCGGCGGTCGTTGTAGTCTTCACAGTGCACAGTCTCTTCGTCGTCGTCTTCGCTTTTCTTGACCTTCTTCTTTCCTCTGTGCTCTGGATCCCAGGTCGACCCAAGCTTCCTCTTCAGCTTGTTGCGCCTTTGGTTTCTCTTTTGGTTCCTCTTCTTCTTCTGCTCGGCCGCAATCGACGGGTCCGCCGAGTAGCGCCCGGTCGCCTTCGGCCTTTCCTGCTTTTCGAGCTCCTTCCGGTAGAGCTCCTCCTCGTCGTCGGCATCCACGCGGTGGCTCGTCCTTTCGGCTTTCGTGAGGGGGCGGTAGTCCTTTCGCCGCTCGGGCTTGGCCTCCGTCCCATCGCTGTGGATAACCTCTGCGTCGAAAGGAGCCTGTCTGTATCTCTTAAAGTGTTGAGAAGAGGTGCCCGTCTGTGTCTCTTAAAGTGTTGAGAAGGTCCCGCCTGTGTCTCCTAAAGTGTTAAGAAGAGGTTCCCGTCCGTATCTCTGACAATGTTGAGGTGCCCGTCTGTATGTTTTGAAGTGTTGAGAAGATCTCTTAAAGTGTATTGAGAAGGGGTGCCCGTCCGTATCTCTTACAGTGTGGAAAAGAAGTGCCCCAAACCCTAAACTGTTGAGAAGAGCCCGTCTGCATCTCTTACAGTGTTGAGAAGAGGTGTCCGTCTGTATCTCTTAAAGAGTTGAGAAGAGGAGCCCGTCTGTATCCCTTAAAATGTTGAGAAGAGGTTTCCCGACTATATCTCTTAAAGTGTTGAGAAGAGGTGCCCGTCGGCCCGTCTGTATCTCGCAAAGTGTTGAGAAGGGGTGCCCGTCCGTGTCTCTTAAAGTGTTGAGAAGAGGTGCCCGTCCGTATCTCTTAAAATGTTCAGAGGAGGTGCCCGTCTGTATCTCTTAAAGTGTTGAGAAGAGGTGCCCGTCCGTATCTCTTTTAAAATGTTCAGAAGAGGTGCCTGTCTGTATCTCTTAAAGGGTTGAGAAGAGGTGCCCGTCTGTATCTCGATTTGTCGAGAAGAGGTGCCCGTCTGTATATCTCTTAAAGTGTTGAAAAAAGGTGCCCGTCTGCATCTCTTACAATGTTGAAAGAGAGTTGCCCGTCTGCATCTCTTAAAGTGTTGAGAAGAAGTGCTTTTCTGTATCTCTCAAAGTGTTCCGAGAAGAGGTGCCCGTCCGTATCTCTTGAAGTGTTGAGAAGAAGTGCCCTAAACCCTAAACTGTTGAGAAGAGGTGCCCGTCTGTATCTCTCACATGGTGTTGAGAAGAGGTGTCCGTCTGTATCTCTTAAAGTGTTGAGAAGAAGTGCCCGTCAATATCTCTTAAAGTGTTGAGAAGAGGTGCACTTCTATATTTCTTGAAGTGTTGAGAAGAGGTACCGTGGTTGGGGGCTTCTGTATAGGACCCTGGTGTTGTCGGCGCGCGCAAAGTCTCCCCACAATTTTTTCCTCGCAAATACCGTGGTTGGGGGCCACCCAACGATGGAGAAGCTTGCAAATACCATGGTTGGGTGCTTACCAACTCCGGAAACCTCGCAAACCCTAAGCCCTAAACCCTAAACCCTGAACCCTAAACCCCTAAACCCCGAGCCCTAAACTGTTTGGTGTCTGAGACAACTGTGGACCAGTTATGGGAACCAGTTGTCGACATTTTGTCCCATCATCTCGCTGTAGGGTTTAGGGCTTAGGGTTTAGGGTTTTAGCAGCAAAGAGAAGCGGTGTTTAGATTTGTAGGTGTCACACAACATGTTTCACAATGAGTGAGCATACACATGCGACATTGGCTCAAGCCGTCAAAAGTGATTGCACCTGCAGTGTTAGTTCTGCCTTAAACTCCGTTCATGGTAGCGGAGCTGTCGGTTTGAATGGACAGCAGACGCGACCTTGCTGACGAAAGTGCTGAAAGTGACAACGAAGGTTTTGCTGTGGTGCAAGCTCCCGCTGTGCACCGCTGGGAAAGCTTGATCCGTTTACTCTATCTGAAAAAACAAGCGGTCTTTTCCACTTAAGTTTGGGCCTGAATGTCGCATCATCCGAATCATGCAATGCACTCCTGGCAAAACATGAAAGACGTGTCAAAGCACTAGAAAATCTGTACACAAGATATGCTAGGGGGTAAATGGTAAAGTTCATCACCCCGCCTGAGATTGCAGTGTTCGAACTGCATATCTCACATGAACTTTCGTCTGCTATTCTGTGCGCGTCAGCATGTCTTTACAATGACTGCACGTGCTCAACCTCCTTGGGGAATTGAGGGAACTCTTCAAGGTTCCACAGCTTCTGTGATGAAAACACTCACCACTTCGTGTAACGAAAAGCTCTTGGGGTACCACGATTCTCACATTGGCATCAGAACGGACTCGCATCAGCTCATTATCAGTTGGCTCAGTACTCGTCGGTTGCAATTTGTGCTCCAGCTGAAGAATGTAGCGATGCCTGGTCCACACCACCCCAAGAAGAAAGAAACACATGTACTGCTCCATGGTACACTCCGGCATCAGTCCACACAGGAAGATGAAACTCATGATCATCTTGGTCGCAAAGTCTTGCGAGCTCATTTCCAGAAGACTGTTCATGTCGAAACCATGGAAGTCTCTAGCCCAGCTCAAGGCCCGGTAAATGCACAAACCACAGCACAACAGGACGGTAGCCCAAGTCACGTTCGCCATGCCATGACGCTGGTACGGATTCGCCGCCTCCGCTGCATCTCCAGTTGTAGGCAAACAAAGAAGAGTAACCTGTTTCGTCAGCCTGCTTGCTTCGCCCTTCAAGGAACCGGTCACTCCATGCTGCCGAGCATATTCAGTACGAACTCTCTTCACCTGCATCTTTGCTTGATCTTGCAGAGCCATTTGTGCAAACTCTTCCTCGCCAATAGCCTTTCCTGTGAAAGCATCAACGAAACCATGCAAGAACAGTAAGGCTCGCAAACGATTGGCACTGTGCATCTTTGTAGATAAATCGCCAAGATTGAAAATGCTTGCAATTGCTCCAACATCGATGATTTTCTCACGCACTGATTGCTGCAACCACAAGAGACGACCAGCTACATGGCGAGTCTTGTTCCCAACGCCTTGGCGTAGGGCGAGCTGTCTCGCTGCTGAATTGTCTATCTTAAGATCCAAGGAGCATTCTGTAATCGCCGCCATGAAGACGAAAATCGCCCTCAGGAAAATTCCTTCGCAAGCAGCACTTATCGCAGCATACCATTCGGCTTCTGCTGATGAAAGACTCACAGTGCGATGTGACCTGCAAATGTGATGGAACACACAACCATTCACTGCATACGACGCGGATCCAAAAGACTTTCTTGTAACCCGATGTCCACTCCAATCAGAATCGCTGTAGATCTCAATTCGGTTGGGCATATCATCGTGATTCGCCTCGCGGAAGACTGTGGATCCAGGAAGCTTGGGTGAAAGCAACGTGGCATACTCAGCAGTGTTAAGCAGATACTTCGCTAGTCTGATCAATCCTTTCCATGCCTGTTCGGTGGGATTTGACATGAATCCTGCTAAAAGTCGGACAGAGTAGCAGATGTCAATGCGATCACTTGACAAATACAATGCAATACCCAGTGCACTCCTGAACTTCCCTGCTCGAACAGGGTCAAGAGGACCAGATACATCTTCGCGAATTAGCTCTGGAAGATATGGTGCGTTATGCTTCGATCCGTGCTTGACATCAAGTACTTCGGCCATGTGTCGTATGTAGCTGCTCGAAGCTTCCACTAAAATCCCAGATTCCAAAACAGTGTGCTTTCTCTTCAAGAAAGAAAAGACATCTCCATTCTTGCACGCAATCTCTACCGAGATCTCGAAACGCGATTGCAATGTAGGGATGTACTTCTGCTTGAGCCATGTCAAGGGAGCAAGCGTAAGACCATCGTCGACACGCATGATCATCGGGCCCTCGGGCACACGCATGATTGCCGGGTTCTCAACACAAGACTCAAGGGCATCGAACTTGTCGGTCAAAAACTGTACGAAATATCCAAACCATCTTTGTGCACCATCTCTCTGTCCAGGCACACACTTCTCAAAGACGTATTGTCCTTGAAGCATGCAATCTTTGGGTAGATCAGCGACAACGGGCTCCTGTTGAGGCACCTCTAAATAGGCGTCTTTGACGTCTACCGCACATATCGCATATTGCTCTGGCCTCGTCGCTCTCCACAAAAGAAAAAGGATCGGAATGAGTTTCACCATATTTGTCGTGGTACTTGGGGAAAATAGCCCTTGTTTCTCCTCAAGCCACTTGTACTCCCTTGCCACTAGTCTGGATCTTCGGAGATACTGTGACATCCCATTCCTCTTCTTCTGCCGCCAAGTCCTGACCATTTTGGTCGAGAGACTCTTCATCGATGAAACGTTGTCCTTCTCGGACGACGGGCGCAACACACCCTTCTGTATCAGCCTATTCACTTCCACAGCAGCAGCGATCCTGTCAAGTTCGAACAAATCTGACTCTGAAAGCTTCGGTTCACAACCATTGTCTGGAAACCATAGAGCACTGGCATCAACGCTCTGCCCCGCCTCGTCCTTCATTGCCGAGTCGGGCTCGGTGCTCGAACACTTGTCGTAATCGGGGTCCACAAACTCGAAGTCGGACCAATCTGCATCCACAAACTCAAAGGGCTCGTCATTAAGATCATAGTCCTTGTTGCCAAAAGAAACGGTTCGGATTCTCGGAACTTTTGAAGCACGTTCTTCAAGAACATCACTGGCCTCATCAGTCTCCATAGCAGTGCCTGATGGCACCACTGGACTTGTGAGTGGAAGCAGGTCTTCCAGGGGTGTTGCAGGAGGCACATGTGGCCTTTGTGAAGGATTTGGAAGCTCAGGTCCCGGTGTTGGAACACTTTCGTGCACCCTGGAGCTTGGCGGTGGTGGACGACTGAAAGGCACTTTAGGGGCTTCGGGGTCCACACTACCTCCCACGGGTGTTGGAGGCAATGCTTCGGCAGGGGTTCCAAGGTTAGGGCCTACGTCTGACCCCATGGCAGGAGTCAACCCCATGGGAACTGGCGTCTCAGGTGGATCTGAAGCTGCAACGTCTTGTGGGCTGCTTGGTGCAGGCAAGGCCTTCCTTGTCTTGGCCGGGGGAACCATCTTAGTTCCTATGACCCCGCTACTGTAGTTCCAAGGAAAACCCTTAACATCGGCATACAAAGCAGCATCATGCTTCCACTCATGACCTGTGCGCCTCACGGAGCGGGTGACTCGCACGCCACCTTTGCTTGCAACTACATACATGTCGTTCAAACTGGTCTTGGTCAAGAAAATAGCCGTCAGCCATTTTGGGTCTCCTTTCTTCTTTGCATGAACTTGTGCAAACACTGGTTCGCCATATGCAACAAGCTTCCCGGTGTAAGCAGCGTTGCAAGTGCGTTCATACGCCGTGAGTCCTCCTGCCACAGCGAACCTGTTCCGGATCCATGCAGCATGCACAAAGGACCATGCGAAGAGAGGATGCACAACATCGATCTTGCATCCAGTCTTATGCCTCACCATGTCCAAGAGAGTGCACGACAACCTTCGGATCAGGTCTACCGCTTTCTCAACATACCCGTTGGCTTGGTGGTGGCCAACAGGAGGATTCCTTTCAACCGTCTTCAATCCCAGCCTCTGTCTCGCATTCACCACAGCACGCTGCAACGAAAGTGTAGCTGGTTCAGCATCACACCTCAACTCCACTGTCGCATGACCCAAGGATTGAATGAACCTCATCAGCTCAACCCCAAGGTATCGCGTGCTGCCTTTGCTCTCACAGGGTATTGCCGTGATGGCACCAGTGGCGGAATCGTGTGCGATCAGACAGCAAAGTAGGTCAGAAGCACTTGAAGAAGGTTCACCTGCTACAGGCTCAAGCTCGTTCGAGGAAGGACTGAACCCGGTATAGCAGAAGTCGAAAGAGACGCTCGGGAGGTCTCGTGGCGCGGCATTTGTAGCCTCTGATCTGTCCGGAACAGATCGCATGGTGATGCAGTGGCTGCACCACGCCGCGTATGGCGTGTGAGTAAGCTCGTGAATGAGCTGTTGCTCTCTGGACGGAACATCGGGGATTGATTGCATGTGGGGCAATCGAGCAGCTCCCTCTGAAGCATCTCGGGCGATGTCTGAGGCAAGTGACAACTTTTGCTTCTCAAGGTAACCCTTTATCCTCTGAAACAGCCTAGTCTTAGAACCGGAAGTTCTCAAACCCAACTTAGTGCAGGCTGCTTTCAGGGCACCAATCGAACTCTCACAGTTGAGCACAACGCCATCAAGGGTGAGCGTGTCAACAGGCTCAGCAACGGGATTGCTAAGAGGCTCTTCCATGTCGGGCAACGCACCTCGGGACGCAGGCTCTTCACGAATGATCACACCTGCATCGGGCTCATCAACTGGCGACGGTTCATAATCAAACAACTCATCCTCATCGTACGGAAGTTCTGGGGTCTTGGGAGATGGAACTACATCCTCAACCAGGCTCTCAGTGAGATTTTCAACTCCGAGCGAAGACATGGGTTCCTTGTTCACATGCATGCAAACGATCAACTCAGCCTCTCCACCTTCTGGGATGTCATCTTCAAGATCTTCCATCTCCAACCACGACTCACAGTGTTCGATCAAAAACCAAGCTGAGGTTTCACTTCGTCTCATCAAGGTGGAACGCAAGGGCCAGCTTCGATCAACCATAAAGGATGGGTCTAACATGCGTGACGAACGACCCCGCCAGCACAAATTCCCTGAGGTGAGGATCTGCCACCCGAAATGCAAGTTGCTCAACTCCGGACCCAACACGGCACGCTGAAGGACACGGACATGTGTGTCATCTGGTTGACACTGGGGACCTTTCGACTGGACGTGGGAACTCTGCGGATCACATGATTGCACTTGAGGACCTTTCGACTGGACGTGGGAACTCTGTGGATCACAGGCTTGCACACAAGAACTTGGACTTTCGGCTTTCTCAACCCGACGAATCTCGGCATCCACTCCAAGGCTCATGCCTCGGAATGTCATAGGCACATCGGCTCCTGAAGCATCATGGTTCAACCAGAAGCCTTGGGCATTTTGGCACGGAAACCAGCCCTGTTTGATCAACCGACCCATACTTATTAGCGGCTGCAATACGTCTGCGACGATGCATCTTTCACGGATTGTGACATGTCCATGGCTTGGGCTTTGCATAACGAAATCAACAATCCGCTCATCCTTCACCTGCATGCTACCACCCTGAGCATCACGCACATGCATCACACAGTCCCCAGGGGAGCTGACTCCACACGATGCAAAGCTCAACGGAATGCAAGAGACATCAGCTCCGGAGTCGATGATCACAGAACAGGTGTCACTGGTTCGGGTCAGTGCTCGCACATGCTGCTCATGGGTTCTGTTCGAACACCCAATCACTTCCCAGTTTGAGTCGCCATCTGTGGCATCCAATCGGGAATGCTGTGCATGAATCATTCGCACGAAAGGGTCATCACCTGACAGGTCAAGTTGACTCATGTCCATCACAAAAGGCTCGGCAATGACACGACGCACGGCTGCGGAGGCTTGGCTCGGGGCACTGCTATATGAAGGGCCGGCACTGGTGGAGGTGCCGCTCACAGAAGCTCCGGAAGGCTGTGGGCCAGGCTGGCCTTGGGACTGCTCAACCTGGTTGACACGAGGGCGCCAGCAGTCTCTTGCATAGTGGCCAGGACGGCCACAGTTGTGGCATGTAGTGTTGGAGGACAGATTGCCCCCCTTCGGTGCATTGTTCTTGCCTTTCCTATCACCCTTGCCACCTTTGCCTGGATTCCTCTCGCCTTTGGCATTGTTGTAGCTCTGAGAATAACCTTTAGACTCTTTGCCTCCAGCCTTGCCATACTTGCCCTTGCTGTCATTGCCTTTTGGACCTTTTGAACCCTTAGGACCCTTAGGACCTTTGCCACCTTTGTACCCTTTTGGACCACCCTTAACTTGACCGATGTCCATTGGCTGCGGTTCCTGGTCGTGGGACTTCTTTTGCGCATACGAAGACTCGGTGCTGAAAAGGTTTGAAGGGCTCCACTTGAACTGCATGCGCTCATAACGAAGAGCGGCCTCTCGGATCTCGTCGTAGGAGGAAGTCTCAGCCAAGACAGTGGAAAGGTGGTTCCGCATGCCGCCAGAAATGCTCTTGAGCAGTATCGAGGTTTTGAGGTCTTCTTCCAGCTTCTTGCCAGACGAACGCTCGTATTCCTCCATCACTCGCTCCAGATCCAACAGCTGGGCCAGGAACGGCTCGTTGGTGCGAAACGGGTGCGTCTGAGTGAGAGCGGTGAGGATGCCAAGCGAGCGGGCACGGCTTGACGGCTGGAAAAGTTGCATCAGCTGTCGTAGGGCCTCATAGCCATTTTGTGATGGAACACGTTGGATCACTTGCAAACCTCTGCCACGAACGAATCCAGAAAGCAATGCATACATTCGTTGGCTCCTTTGCAAAGCATCAGGATCACTTATCCACCCAATCTCGGCTGTTGGAAACTGTTCGATTTTCTTCAAATCCTCGGCATAAGCAGTGTCCAGCGCTACCACATATTGCTTCAGTGACCATACCCATTGCAACCACTGCGAGTGCTCCTCCTCTCGAGTTGTCGGCTTGAAGGTGTCCGGCCGCGGCAGGATTCGGCTCATCTCACTTGAACCAAGGGAGGCCTTCGAAGAATTGGCCCTTACTGCCGCCATTGCAGCATCACTTGCAGCCTTGGTAGCAGCAGTCATCTGCTGCATCATCACTCGCAAATCATCCACAGAAACGTACACGCCCTGGGCTCCTTGACCTTGGCTTGTCGGGGAAAATGGATTTCCATGTTGTTGTGACGAAGCTGCTCCGTTCTCTTGCAGCTCATCATCATCATCATCGTCATCAATAACTGGAAGTTGCTCTGCCATGTTCGAACAGTGAAAGATGCGATCTCACACTCGTGGGCTTCCGGGGAAAGGGGTACTCTGGCTCGTCCTGATCGAGGTCGATGGGGCTTGCTGCCGACTGCAGCTTCTTGTTGAACACCCGAGAGTGTCCTGGCGTATTGGGCTCTGACGTGATAGACCCCACAGACAGGTCTCGATCCAGGTTCTCGTGCTCCTGCTGCAGGTGCACGAAAGCAACTTGCGCTGCCCAGCTCAACGATTGCTCGTCGGCAGCCTCGAAACCAAACCAGGTAAAAGATTCGCGAAGGTTCTCGTTCTTCAAGCACTTACCACCAAATGCAAGCACTTCTTCGACTGTCGAAAACTTTTCCAAGCGAAGTTCAAATGCTTCCTCGACCACAGACAACTGCTTCTCCCAGCTTGCTTGCCTTCGGTTTTCAGGCTTCACCCGAAGAAACAGCTGCTCTCTGTAAAACTCTCGAAGTTTGTCTTTGACAGCCTCAAGGCTTGCAGCAGTAGTCGTGGTTGGCTCTTCCCGTAAAGCCTGGGAGGCCGCAAAATGAAACTATGGCAGCAGGCGCGCGGGAGATAGACACTACAGCCTAAATCCCAGAAGAAAACCCCAACAAAGCAAAGGAAAGATCAGGTCCTGGTCCCTGAACTCAAACCGCCGAAGAAACGTGTTTCGGAGTCTGGCTTTCCAGAGCTCCGCTACCATGAAAAAACAAGCGGTCTTTTCCACTTAAGTTTGGGCCTGAATGTCGCATCATCCGAATCATGCAATGCACTCCTGGCAAAACATGAAAGACGTGTCAAAGCACTAGAAAATCTGTACACAAGATATGCTAGGGGGTAAACGGTAAAGTTCATCACTATCGGATTAGGCGACTGCAAAGGATTTGGGGCCTTCTGGGCCAGCATCTCCAGACTTTCGTCCAAAGTTGCGATGAGCAGCTAGGAACAGCAACAGGCACAAGTGACTGCAGCGCAAGTGATGCAGGAGCTTGTGAATCTGAGAAACGAACTCACAAGGCAACGCGAAGAGAATGATCGGCTAAGGGCCGAGCAAAGCACAGCACTTGAGCGAGTACGGCAAGAGAGTGCAGCTCAAGTTGCGGAAGTGCGAGCACAAGCGCATACGGCAGTGCAGCAGGCGACGGCTCAGATGGGCACGATGCCACAGTTGGTGAGCGACATGGTCAAGTCGAACAAGGAACTGGTTGAGGCCATGGCAAAGAAAGGAGAACCAAACGAGAAGCTTTGTTTGGTTGACACAAAGGGCCTGGGAAAGCCGACGACCTTCTCAGGTGAGAGTGAACAGTTCCTACCATGGAGGCATCGAATGTCGAGCTACGTTTGTTCGATCCACCATGATCTGCAAGAAGTTCTAGAGTGGCTCGAAGAGAGGGAGAAGCCGTTCTCCTCGGAGGAGTTGGACACAGCCTTTGGAGAAAAGGCGTTGGAGGCGGATCGAGTTCCCAGACTGCAAGAAAAGTCGAGGGAGCTCGCGAACGCGCTCCAAATGGTTACCTCAAAGGAACCATTTACGATCGTGCGCAATTGCCAGAACAACGGGTTCGAGGCATGGAGACGCCTTACGAGGCGATACGATCCTGCGACTGCAAGCAGGAAGCGCACGATGCTGAGAGCGATTATATCGCCCCAGAGGCAGAAGCTGGAGAATCTCCCTCAGGCCATCGAAGAATGGGCCGACGCTGTGCGCACTTACGAGAAGCGCAAGGACAGCACAGGGCGACGAACGACCCTGGCTGATGAGATAAAGATGGCAGCACTGGAGGCAATGTTGCCACAGGAGCTGGAGTCTCACATCCAGTTGAACCAGAGCCGGTTCTCCACGTACGACGACGTGCTCGACGAGGTGACTCGCTTCATCGAGTACAAGACAGGAAAGAGTCTGAAGGTGATTTCTGCAGCCGCAGCCAGTGCGGCGAGCAAGGATGATCCTATGGACCTGTCGTATGTGGAGAGAGGCAAAGGAAAAGGAGCAAGCAAGGTCGTGTGCCACAACTGCGGCAGGAGCGGACACTATGCCCGCGACTGCTGGAGCAATGGAGGCAAAGGTTCGCAGCAGCAACGGGGCTCACCCAAAGGTCCAGGGCAACAAGGAGGAAAACCAAGCAGCAAGGGAGGAAGAGCGAGCCCCACAGGAGGAAAGGACAAAGGAAAAGGTAAGAAAGGAAAAGGCAAAAAGGGAAAAGGCAAGAAAGGTGGTAAGAACAAGAAACACGTAGGAAACATAGAAGAAGGAGGAGAGAACACAGGAGAAGGAAACCAGGACGAGAACTGGCAGGAAGGAGAAGAGGATGAAGGCTGGGAAGACGGAGACTGGGGAGAAACCTGGGAGGACGGTTGGGGGGAAGCAGAAACAAACAACTTCTACGTGGGAGTGTTAGAAAGAGAGAGCCCGAAGAGAGAGAAAGAGAAGAAGAAGAAGAAAGAGTCGAAGCCAGACCCCGGCAGTCGTGGCTCAAGTAGGGAAGAGGGCTCCGGCCCGACCGCGCTTGGGGCCATAGCGCCAAAGAACCCGAAAAGGAAGGTTCCTCCAAAGGAGGAAAAAGACGAGGATGAAAAGGAGCTGGAAGCTCTGGAAGAGCAAATGGACAGAGCAAGGGGTCAGTTCCAAGACCTGAAGGAAAAGGTGGAACTTGCGAGGAGACGTCGCCAGGAAAGACTTCTTCAGGAAGAGGAAGAGCTGGCAGAAGCCAGGAGATGTTCCCGCGGCGAGGTGCCAGGGCAGTCCAGCTTCGGAGTGTTTTCGTCTTCGTCGCGAGGACCTCCGGAGAGAGTGCGCGAGCCAAAGGCCGGAAAGAAAGAGGAGAAGAAGGAGGCGAGGTCTAAGGCTTTGGACACGGCGCCCTGGAAGCGCGCTTCGCGCTACCGGGAGCCACCAGTGCCTCAGCCCAAGACCCCTCAACAGGCGAAGCAAGAAAGACCGAGAACACCGCCGAAGTCACCACCGCCTTCCAGGACCAAAAGTCCGCTTCTCAAGCCGAAGGTAGAGCCAAAGAGAACAGAGCCAAAGTCACCACCTTCGAAGCCAAAGGTAGAGCCGAAGAGAACAGAACCAACGTCACCACCTTCGAAGCCTCCACCTAGAAGTGAAGAAGTGCAGCCAAGAAGCGAAGAGGTGGAGAGACAACTGGCTACCACAGCGCCGAAGTGGGGAGCCTCAAGGAGCCAAAGACCTGTGGCGAAGGCAAAGCCAAAGCTTCTAAGGAGTCCGGCGTCTTGGGCAGGAATGGGCTTCAGGGAACGTGTGGCCCACCAAGATGCCATACGAGACAAGAAGCCCAGAGGCACCGTCGGGGAGTCCTTACTGAAGAAGCAAGGCGAGGCCTGCTCCACCTGCGGGTCGAGGCGACTGAAGTTCAGGAGCAAAGCGTCCCTTCTGCTGAAGAAGAGGATGAAAGAGTACAAGGCAGCAGCTGCAAAAGCAGCGGGCTCCCACTACGCCACGAAAGTTTTCGAAAGAGAAAAGCTTGTGAGGGCCGACAGGCCCAGCAAGGCTGAACTGAGGAGCGCAAAGGTAGCCGAGAAGGTGAAGCCAAAGGAGGAAGAAGCCGCTGGTGAAGAAGAAGAAGACAAGTTTTCCTTGGAGCCGGAGAGCTCCGAGGACGAAAGCGACTTCGAGGATGACCCTCCAAGCAGGAGCCCAAGAAGGAAGAAAAGAAGAAGCCACCAAAGCAGGAAGAAGGAACCGAAGGAGCAACCGCGATCACGGCAAGCACCTCGAGCAGCATGCAGAGGATGCTAGCGTCGGGTCTTATGGAGACCAACCGTGCGAACCTCGCGGTCTTGGACCAGAGGATCGCGACAAAGAAAGAGAAGCTCGAGGGACGCGGCAGTGACCCAGAGCTGGAAGCCGAGATCGCGAGCCTGGAAGACGAGCGGAAGCGCCTGAAAGAGGAGCGCGAGCGCCTCAGGGCGCAGCAAGCGGGCGTGAAGAAAAAGGAGCCCGAACACCGCAGAGACCAGTCGGTGCACGACGTGCGCTACAAACGCCAAGTGGAAAAGGGAGACAGCCACTGGAAGGCTTGGCGTGCGGAAAAGGGACGAAGGAGAGCGCAAGAGCACAGACGCAGCGGTGTGGGCGAAAGAGCAAAGGAGAGGATCGAGGCCGACAAGAAGTGGCACGCCCGGCACGACGTGAAAGTGAAAAAGGGCGACTTCCGCGATAACCAGAAGGAAGAGGTCGACGGCATTCTGAACATTTTAAGAGATACGGACGGGCACCTCTTCTCAACACTTTCAGAGACAGAGGGGGAGCCTCTTTTCAACACTTTAAGAGATACAGACGGGCACCTCCTCTGAACATTTTAAGAGATACGGACAGGCACCTCTTCTTCAACAGTTTCGGGTTAGGGTAGAGCTGTTTTTTTGAAGCGGACGCCCGTTTACCACATCAGCAGCACAGTGGGCCGGTCTGTTGCGATGAGGTGAAACAGACAAAACTACCCAAGAACCAGGAGCAGCACCACAAACAAAGAAATAGGACAACAACCGCAACAGCAAAATCAACCTAGCGGTGAGACATTCCCTCTCTCAGAGCACGACGAAGTCGATGTAGACCCGTAGCCTTAATGGCCCAAGCACCGTGAAGGAGCGGTTTATCAAAAGCAAGACTCCCACTTTCCTTTTCGGGAGGACTATGTCGGCAACCTTTCGCTCTCGTAATGCCTGTTTATGCGGAACCTTGGCAACCCCTGGGCTCTCAATGCTCTACAGGCTGGCTTTAGCACATACTCCCACCCGTCGATGTACCCTTGTGTGGCGCAGGCAGCCATCTGAAAGCTCTTGATGCAGGTTCATCGAAGAAGTGCAGCCACCCTGCCACGCGGCCCTGTATGTTGCTTGACACAAGTAACACTTGCAACTGGCACTGGGGAGGCCCTTGTAGAGCAGCCAGTTTCGCAATGGTTTTACGGCCTGCAAAGTGGAGCTGTGAAGCACGTTTTTTCGTCAGTGCAGCTGCTCTCATGTAGGCGACTTGGCTTTTTGCTGCCAACTTGAAACAAGCGTTTTTGAAAGCCTCTGACAGTGCTGTTTGGACAGAAATCAACTGCAGGACGAGACGAGTTCAACTGTATTGCTGAGACGTCAATGTTGCGCGCGATGCCCAATCCGAACCGTTGTAAAAAGGCAAAGTGTCTTTCCACAATGTGAATAAGTGCGAGGGAAGCGAGCGAAACACGGAAGTGCATCGACATGTGTTTGTTGTCAGGGCCTTTTTGATGGTTTTTGGACACCTTTATTTGTTGTCCGGTTTTTTTGTTGATCGACATCTTCACTTTTTGAGAATTTCAAGGTCCATCTGCAAATTCCGCGTGGCAAATGAAGGGATTGGTGGTAAGACATTTTTGGTTCAAAGTTTGTAGACGTGGAAGCTTCCTTGCTTCTTACGCATTTCTCGCTGTAAAAAATTGACACTTTGACCACACCAAAGTTCCAGATCGAGCCAAAAGGGTGTCTCAACACCACTTGAGCAGACCAACAATTGCCAAAGGCTGTCTTAAGACCTTTTGACAGAAAAACCAAAACTTTGAGAAGTGTCTTATCTCAGCACCAGGAGAAATCCAAACATTTTGAACCAAAAGCGTGTTTCAAGAAACACTAGAAGGGTCACCAATCTTAAGACCACTTCTTTGAACGAAAGATTTCTCAACACCAACAGGACTTTTCTTGAGCCCAGAATCGACA